TCATCCAAGTTCAACTCTGGTTGCCTCAGCTGTTTTCTTTTGGAGTACAAAATATCATCGCTAAGTATCGTCCAATTAGTCTCCCAAAATGATTGGACATCAGCCACTTGACAATGAATAAGTATACTGACAAATAGTTTCCTCAGTTTATACCCAGTAGCCCAAAAAGAAACTTCCTTAAGACAATCATTCCATTCAGTATCAGCGGCAAGCAAACCTCGTGCATAACATGCTTTCTGAAATGAAGGATGAGTAATACCATTCACAGTTCTAATATCCTCATAGCTACAACAACCCTTCACAACGTGCAATAACATACGCAAGTAGTATCTATCTTGTGCAGATGGATAACAGTAATACAGTCTTGCTATACACATTCCTCTCTTTCGCTTTTGCCACCTTTTCTCCTTATTCTTCCAAACATAATGTTGTGGCAGTTCAGCAAAGCTGTATTTGTGAGCTTGGGATGACTTAGCATTTAGATCCATCCATGCCAAAAGCATTGTTTTCCCTTTATCTTCAATTCAATCTTCCACATGGGAATTTGCATTGGTATACACTATATTCTCTCCAGGAAAATGATATGACATTCGAAGAACAAGTGGAGACTGAACATAAATATCAAATTTAAATATTCCCCAACACGCTTCACCAGATGTTATGTAACGGTCATCCATAAATGCTTTAATTTCATCAATTTGCACTACTGTGTTCTTCGAAGAGTCAGACAAAACACCAGATGAATTTTGTTGCATAGCCAAAGTTGCCATAGCACGATCCTCAGGTTTGTTTATATATTTAAACAAATATTTGACAGCTCTACAAAATTTTGTTCAAGTGTCTAGAGTAATTAGTTGATATATAGAATACATGACCTTATGTGAACTAAACCTCCCATAACAATTAATAACGACAACAGAAATAAATAAATTTGAGTTAAACTAATTCGTTTAAATACTTTATAATTTTTAGTACACATATTGAATGCAACAAACAACTGGAGAAATAATATTCAAAAATAAGAAGGGAAGAATGACCCACTAACCTTGTTTTGTTGCAAAATTCAACATTAATATGAGCTCCAAAACGTAGTGACAGATATCGATTATAGGGTACAACCCATCGATTATCAAGCTCAATTTCTCCACACTTGAATACTCTACCATTATTGCGCCGACGGTATTTGGCAAACCCATTGTCATCTATTGTTGTCTGATCACAAAATTCTTTTGGGTAATGTTTACTACATTTACCATTCTTCATGCATGAATTAGTTGGCCGTAATAACCCATATGGTCCATGCATCATAGAAGCAGTGACTATTGCATAAAGCTCAGGATCAAGGTCAGGATCTGGGATTTCAGCACAAATAACAGAATCAATATCAGCTGGTCCATAAAGCTTATTCTCAGGGGCCAAGAAGAAAAGCATATGTGCATGAGGGAGACCACATTTTTTCCATTCAATCGCTTTTACATCTGTAAAATAGAAAAGAATGATCAGAAACCCTAAATACATAGGTAATGAATTGGAAAATAAAAAGATATAAGGTTTTACAAAAGGGACTTACATGCACTGATTTTGCCAAAAATTTCCTTGTCCAAAATCTCCATTGTCAATTCATCTAGTTTAATCTTGAAAACTCTTGCTATTACATCAGCTCGATTAGGATCCTTGCCAGTGAATTGTCTAATCAAATCAATCATCAATTGAATTTCAGGCCAATTCGAGTTACATGTGAATGTGATGAACAAATCAGGATATCCAATCCATTTGCAAATGGCCATAGCATCTTGGAAATTTTCATATTTGTATCTTGGACCTCCAGTATGTGATGCCCCTAGAATCACTGGCTTTCCGGACAGCTTAAGATCACTATTACCTTGCAAATAAGAATCTACTAACCCCTGATAATGGTGCCCTCTTAACTTTGACTGATTATTACGCATCCAGTCCAAGCGTTCCGCCTCAATTAGAGCATATGCATTAACCATATATTGTTGAAATAATTTCCCAAAGAGTAACAAAGAATTTGATTCAACAACCCTAGTTTGCAGACGATAGCTATAATAATCACATTGTGATACCATTTTCTTCCCTCCACCACTTGTATTTTCAAGAGAACTAATATTTGGATGCCACCCATCTTCTCCATATGGAAATAAAAGTGGATATTGTAAAGGCATAAGACTGGGATGATACGAACTTATCCTTTCCATCTCAGAACTACGATGTTGAACAATTATATCAGGAGAGAATGTTTCAATTCTGGGTTCATCAACAATCAACGCTGCAATCTCATTAGCAGTGGGCAAATCGTATTCCCTACTATTACCCTCCCTCTTAGCAAATAATTTAAGCTGAAATTCATTAACACCTCAGCTATCTTATCTCTGGCAGAACGAAAAGTACGTACCAGAACATTATTCGCATCAAGCATTTCTTGTAGACCTTGAACAATAGATGCGCATAAGGGATTCCTATCAGGATCTGAAGAGTAGAACTCCATGCCATTCTGAACCTCATTGTCCGAATCATGAATGTATAGTTGTGCAAATTTAGGACTGACACCGTCAGGCGGAACCAAGCTTCCAATTCGATGATAAATTTGACCTCCAATTGAGTACACGTAAACACCTTTTCCATCATTAATGGAGTGATTAACTTTCCCACCGATGGAAATTAAAAAAAATAATATACCATTATAACCTCTCGTGTTAGCGCGGAAATGACGGCTTTCTGCAGTATCACCTTCAAGTAAGGTCTTTAATAATTCTGGAGGATCTCTACGCGTAGGAAGCTTCACTTTACCATGCTTGCAACACAAACCAAACAAAGGATTTGAATGATTCCTTGTCGACAACGTGCTCTCATACCTCCAAAACACAGCACCACAATGTAGGCAAGTGCATGAGGGGAATCCAATATCGAAAAACTCGACAATTGGAAAACCTATAACACAGAACATAATGAGAAAAATATATTCAGTACACAAAAGTAATGATGAGAATAAGAAAATGCACAGACACCTAGGTCGTTCCAAAATAGTAATAATATGAATAATTTTATCCTCTTTACATTTATATCCAAAAGATAAACAAAATGTGAACTGCAAAAGAACAATACACCAACATTTACAGGAAAAATATTCTCCCATCTTGGACAGCACATACTCTGGTTGGATCGATTTTGGAGAAGGGACTGGCGTCGACGTTTTTGGACCAATTGGATACGGCGGTACAACCGATTTTGTTTGCTGAGTATATTAACATACTGAGTCTCCAACCTTCTAGAATCTAAATAATTTAAAAAAAAACAAAATGAGTTCACTATAAATTCAGATTAAGACAACCACAAAAAAATAATACAAACCATTAAATTGCTCAAGCTGTTTATGTATGACATTAATTCGCTTCCGCTTGCACTTCCTTCTTAAAATTAGATGTCTCCTCTGTCGTGCCAGTTGGGAAAGAACCTTTTCAATACATTGTAGTTCAGCTTGCAAATGGCTTTGTGCTGCAGAATTACATATAAGTATGAATCAAAACAATTTATAATAGGAGAGTCAAGGTGAACCTGAAGACAGATGGATATGTACCTTTTTCAAACACAGATTCTTCCTCAGCAGATAAAACGAAGCGTTGTCCCTCATCTTCAGGATTATAAAAGACTGCCCGACATTTCCCTGGAAAAACAATAGTTACCAAGTTGTGAGATTGGGTTTTGACCAATGACCACCAATCCATAACAGAGAAATAACGCACAAGGCGAAGACGAACGAAGACCCCTGTTGATGCCTGATGAATTGCCATGCAATGCTGCAACATTTGAAGCTTTAAAAACATAAAACCAAAAAATACTAAGTCATTGGGGAAAGACTCATGAACTTTGCAATTATGTGATTAACAAAAACAAATACTTACATTGCTGAGTGGATACAGTATTATGAACGAAAGTCGACTGAGTAGATGACTCGCCTAACTCAAATGTAGTCACACCCATAATGCAGAGTTAGGGGAATGGGTTTGCACATAATCAATGATGTTCAGCTCACACCACACCACTTACTCTAATAAAACAAAAAACACACCATAGAAGACAACAATGGCAGTCAGGAATGAAGGATTAACCACCAACAATGTCATACACAGCTCAAATTGTAAAAACCTGCCGCTAATCAGGAAACTGAGTCTGCTTTGCCAATTGATTACATAAAACTGGAAGCTATGGAACTGATTTCCCAATCAGATCTTAATCTGGAACTGCAACCCCAACGGGTTCACCGAAATGAGATGTTCCATATACATCATTGGATTCATGAACATGACTTCATAAACACTATGCACCAACTATATTGATTATACGTCAAAACAGGTGAGTAACAAAAAGAATCCACTTCTGGTTTTCGACCAAATAAAACAGATCATCTATGTTCTGCTATCCGTGCATAGTATATGGGGCACAAATCCAATATACAGGCTATGAAGTTAAAGGTCTAATAATAGAAGAAAAACCAAACTTTGTTGGATTACATATCAAATCAAGCAAGCAGTTAGAGCTAAAATTACCAGACAAAGTACTTAAGCTGCTACGAATGAACCCCCCAAAGCTTTTATAACAACAACCCTTTCAGACCCTGTTGGCACAACCCATCTAGGTAAAAAGATCCATCCTAAACCTTCAATCCCAACCAAGAATAACTCATCTTAAACATACATGAATTCGAAAATAGAATTCTTACTGATTTAGACGGTGAAGACGCAGAAGATAGAATTCAATTACGTAACTAAGCTCAACCCTACATGAACCCCAAACTTTAATTCTACCTGATTTCGGGGGTCAAGACAAAGAACAAAGTGTCCGGTTACCTTCATAAATGCATTTCAATGAATCAACACCATGGGGTGACAGCTCGCACTCGGATAGTGTTTAATTTCGACGGCGAAGAAGCTGGACGGACAGAGCGCTCTTACTAATTTCGCCCGTGAAGACACAGAACAGGGAGAGCACTTCTGCGACTGACCGGCGAAGAAACTGGAAGGAGAGAGAGCGCTTACTGATTTCGCCCGTGAGAAGACACAGAACGGGGAGAGCACTGCTCCGACGGTGAAATCAATGAAGGGAGTGAGTGAAGATCGTACCGACGGAACAAAAAACCACCAGGCCCGTTCAACGCAATATGAACCGCGGTATTTTTTCCCTGTCCCAAAATACCTGATAACGATGTAATTGCATGATTTTATACCCCTATTTCTTATCCAATTGCGGAGCATAGTTGTGTGTTTTGGCCTATTTTACGCCGGGTTGTGCTACTTTGTCCTATTTCAGGTCCCAGGCGTCGAAGGGAAGGTCAAGCGCGAGTTTCGGAGCATTTGGAAGTCGTTTGGTCAAGCCAGGACCAAAACACGGGCAGGAGGCCTCAGGAACACAGCCGTGTTCCTGGCCGTGCTTTTACTGCCGAGGCTCTCCACATGTGTGCTACACCAGCTAAAAAACACGAGCGGGATTGATTAGGACACGGCCGTGTCCAACGTAGAACACGCCCGTGTTTTCTCCCAGACCGTGCCCGTGTATTTACCACGTGGCAGAGGGCACGGGCGGGCTGGATCAGAACACGGTCGAGGACCCTTTTAGGCAGATTTCAGCCAAAAAGAGAGGGGATTCGAGTTTTAGAGAGCCAGAGCGATTCCTAGAGAGAGAAAGCGACGAAAAAGAGTCTCCAAGTGCCCTAGCTTGATCTTCATCACCATTGGAGCTTGGCTTGAGCTTGGAGGAGTGCCGATCAACGTCCAGGAGCAGAAATCCATCCTTCACAGTATGATTTCCGCGTCTGAATCTGCTTTTGCTTCTTTCTCCATGGAGTAGTTCTCCCATTCATCTGGGTGTGGGAAACCCTAGATCTGTATGTTAGGTTTGATTGTATGAACCCAAGTACTGTTTCTATGATTTGATTATATTCGATTGAGGTTTGAATGATTGAATGGCATGAATCCTGATCAAATTCCTGTTGTTTCTGCTTTAACCTAGAATGAGAATATCTGCCTAGGTTGATAGAGTATCCTTAATTGAAGGTAGTGAATTGGTGACTTTAGTCGAGGAGCCAATTCGCTATTCTGTACCGAATTCAATTCGGTAGTGGAGGTTTGGTTCGTTAGGTCCTCAATCTGTTTACTCCGGTGGAGGTTAGTCGCCTGCTAGAGACTCAGATTGAGAGGGTCTGGAGACCTTTAGTCGAGACTTCAGACTGTTTGAGAACCTTCCGCAGTATAACTATCATAGAAATTGAACTTGGTAATTGCAATCCGGCTTAACTGCAGTCTAGGGGGAACCATATCCGGGTGACCTCTCTTAACTTGAAAACAACCGTTTAGTTGCTTTGCTTGTTTGTTAGTTTAGACCTTCACTAAAGTTTCATTGCTAGATAATACGAATTCACTGAGTAGTCTTCATATCTAGGACCCGGGTTGACTTTAAAACCTAAACCCGCTATACTACGCTTTAGGAAGTGGTTTCACTTGGCCATTTTCTAGAGTGACAGTAGGAGTGAGTCAAGTTTTTGGCGCCGTTGCCGGGGACGGCTAGGTTGTTGAAGAAAAGTGATTTCTGTTACTTTAGCATTTTCATTTTCGCATTGAGTGTTTGTTCTTTCCCACTTGTGCCTTCACGGGTTTGCATTGCTTGATTGTGTGCAGATAGTGCATGACCCGTAGCCAGTCGGGAGGTTTACTGCCGTTGGATCCAGAGATTGAACGCACCTGCAACCAACTTCGGAGACAACATCGAGCTAGACTGGCTACGGTGGAGCGAAGAGACGGCCAATTGAGCAGCGAATTCGAGGACGAGTACGAGATGGAAGGCGAAGACAACCCACAACCGGGGAATGCTCGACAAGCTCCCCCGGTGAATCAGCATCCACCACCATCGCTGGGTCCCACCTTGGAGTACTACTACACTCCATTGATTGCTGACATCTGCCCGGTCATCCTCTATCCGCCCATCCCAGCGAACAACCTCGAGATCAAGCCATACTGGATTCAACTCATTACATCATCTATCCAGTTCCATGGTTTGAAGGATGAGGAGGCTCGGGCACATCTTTCCCGTTTTCTGCAGCTGACGAACGGGTTCAAGCTGAATGGTGTTCCGGATGACGCAATCCGCCTTCACCTCTTCCCCCATTCTCTGGCGGGGATTGCTAAGAGGTGGTTGGAGACCCAGCCCCCATTGTCCATCACTTCTTGGGAAGATCTGGCAGACAAGTTCGTGCACAGGTACTATCCGGCATCGAAGACCACAGAGATTCAGCGGGAGATCACTCACTTCCGCCAAGAGCCAGATGAGTCACTTCGTGATGCATGGGAGCGGTACATGGGATATTTCTGGCAGTGTCCCCATCATGGCTTCAGTGATGCATTCACAGTGGGGAATTTCTACAGTGCCCTCACCCCAGACAGCCAGAGGGGATATTCTCACTAAGACTCCACCCGAGCTGAACCAGATGATCAGTACCTTGGCTGCCCGCGATCACTCCTGGGGGCAGAGCAACAGAGGCAGACGTTCCCGGGACCGTGGTGTGCACGCTATGGAGGCCAGGTCCGGGTTAGAGCAGCAGGTGGCTGAGTTGGTGCAGACATTGAAGCAGCCTAACAGTCTCCTTCCGGCCCGAGGTGTAGCTACGCCTCCAGTAGCTCAGTTTCAGTGGTGTGAGAGCCCGAACTACCTGGTGGAGGATTGTCAGTCTATGAGGGAGTCCTCTACTCCCCAAGAGCAGGTGGACTTCATCGCCAATGCTCGGCGCCTGGACCCATACAGCAATACCTATAATGAGGGGTGGCGCCAGCATCCCAACTTCGCCTGGAGCAGCAACAACACCAAACCACCTGGTTTCCCAGCACTAGCGGGTGGTTTTCAGCAGAGGCAGCCCTTCCAGGCTAGGCAAGGGCCACCACCACAGCAGCAGCCCTACCAGCCTAGGCAGGGGCAGCCATTACAGCAGCCCCACCGCCAGTATACCCAGCCTCCAGCAGCCGCAGCTCCAGATAATCAGATGGCTGATCTGAAGAATATTTTGCAGGCATTCATGACCACCAGCCAGGCAAATTTCACGAGGATGGATCAGAACATAGCCTCACTGGAGGCAGGCCAGAGAAACCAAGGTGCCATTCTGCAGGATCTACAGAATCAGATTGGGAGCTTAGCTCGCCAGAACACTACCAGGGCACCGGGCACTCTGCCTGCCACCACTGTTCCCAACCCTCATGACCCTCTCCAGCAGCTGGACGCCATCACCACCAGGAGTGGCAAGACCATATCTGCTGCTCCTGCCCAGCCCGGGCGAGACGACCCACTACCTGCTTCAACACCTCCAGCTGATACTGCAGAAGTGGGGGAAGGCAGTAAAGCACATGCTCCCAAGCCGCAGCCTGTGGTTAAGGAGCATACACCCCAGCTGCCCTTCCCCACTCGACTTCATAAAGACAAGCTGGAGACAGAGTTTGCCAAGTTCATGGCAATGTTGAAGTAGGTCAACATCAGCATGTCGTTCGTGGAGGCACTGTCAAAGATGCCCAAGTATGCCAAGTTCCTGAAAGACCTCCTCACCAACAAGAAGAAACTTGGGGATCTTTCGACAGTGATGCTCAGCGAGGAGTGTTCTGCTATCCTGCAGAATAAGCTGCCCGAGAAGCGCAATGACCCAGGGAGTTTCACTATCCCTCTTGTTATTGGCAGCATGCATGTAGGAAAGTCCTTGGCAGACCTAGGCGCTAGCATAAATGTCATGCCCTATAAACTGTTTAAGAAGCTAGACCTAGGTGAACCTAGAGTTACTATGATGAGCATTCAGTTAGCTGATCGTTCTATCGTGCATCCTAGGGGTATCATCGAGGACTTGCTTGTTAATGTAGGTGCATTCACATATCCTGTTGATTTTGTTATTTTGGATATAAATGAGGATGTGGATGTGCCTTTGATTTTGGGTAGACCGTTTCTCGCCACCGCCAAGGCGCTTATTGATGTGCATAGTGGTAAATTGATTCTGCGTGCTGGTGATGAACAGGCTACTTTTTCTGTCTGAGAATGGGAAGCACTCTCATTTGCATGATGACATAGATTACTGTGATGTGCTTACTGACTTTGAGACCGCACTTGCCATAACGAGTGCGGGTACTGATGATGCTCTTGAGCGTTGTATTTTGCTAGGTGAGCAGGCATCGCAAGAGCCGCAGCTGGCGGAGCAGTTGGCCGCGTTGGAGAGTGGCCCCTTCTTGGAGGGCGACAGGCTATTTAAACCGATCTCATCCTCCACCCGCATCACTACCTCCTTGGAGGAACCACCAGAGCTGGAGCTTAAGCCCCTCCCTCCTCATTTGGAGTATGCATTTCTCCGGGAGGGGAATAAGCTACCAGTCATCATCAGCTTGACCCTCACACCCGAGCAGAAAACCAGACTGGTGGCCTTGCTGAAGCAGTACGAGCGAGCTTTAGCGTGGAAGATCACAGACATCCGGGGGATCAGCCCCTCCTTTTGCTCCCACCGGATACTGCTGGAGAATGAGATGCGGCCAGTGAGGCAGCCGCAGAGGAGATTTACACCGAACCTGGAGGCCGTGGTTCGGGCAGAGATCGTGAAGCTGATGGACGCGGGGATCATCTTCGCCATTTCTGACAGCGAGTGGGTCAGTCCCACCCAAGTGGTGCCCAAAAAGGGTGGGATGACTGTGGTGCCTAACGAGAAGAACGAGCTCATCCCGATGCGCACGGTGACTGGGTACCGTGTTTGCATCGACTATCGGCGTCTCAACGACGCCACTCGGAAGGACCATTTCCCGCTGTCGTTCATTGATCAGATGCTGGAGAGATTGGCGGGGCACGAGTTCTACTGCTTCTTGGATGGGATGTCCGGGTACTTTCAGATCCCTATTGCACCGAAGGACCAGGCGAAGACCACTTTCACCTGCCCCTTCGGCACATTTGCCTACCAGAGGATTCCATTCGGGCTATGCAATGCCCTGGCCACTTTTCAGCGATGCATGCTCGCCATCTTTGACCGTCTGGTCGGCGAGATTATGGAGGTGTTTATGGACGATTTCTCGGTTTATGGAGACTCATTCTCTCACTGTCTCCATAACCTGGAACTTGTTCTTAAACGGTGTGAAGAAACGAACCTGGCACTGAGTTGGGAGAAGTGTCACTTCATGGTTCGAGAAGGCATA